CGATTCATTGACCTCTTTTTGTTGTCGCAGTATACGTTTTTGCTTTGGTCTTATGTTTTTGTTTATGTATCCAAAACTCTGTAGGCCTTCATCCTCTTGGCAATGCATGAATTTATTCTAAACACTGCAGGCTTTCATCCTCACCGATCGTTGATTTTTTTTTGTTTTATATATATAAGTTGAATTTGTTCTAAACTGGTATTCTGACATTGAATTTGTTCTTTAGATTTGTGTATTGACATTTATAACTTGATTTTCAGGTTCCCAAATACATGAAGGCCCCAATTTACATCTACTACCAGCTCGATAACTACTACCAGAACCACCGACGGTGAGAGTATTTCTTCTCTTACCTAATGTAGTGACAAGTTCATTCATTTACTTAAATTACCTTGCTTCTTTCATCAAATGTATTTCTATTTATTTATTTTTTTTGGTATGATTATATTATATATATGTGTCCATTATCTTTCCTTCCATTTATCTAGTATTATTAGCATCCTTCTATAGTTAATGCTCTTGATGATAATTGGTGCTTCTTTGCATTCATTTCTGGTAACTGTCATGGTATCTATTTGTTGCAATAATCAATGGTAAAATGTTATCATGTTAGTCACTGTCTTATCACATTTCCTTTTTGGTTCCTTCTTGGTTTATGTAGAAACCCAAGCTTTGTTCAATGGTAAAATGTTATCATGTTAGTCACTGTCTCCCAATTGTTCCTTGTGGTTTAATTGCATGGAGTTTGTTCAATGATACGTATAGCTTTTCTCGTGGGACAGAGGAGTTGAAGGTCAACAGGAAGAACATTGCCTAGAAGAGTGACCGATATCACAAATTTGGGAAGCAAGTCTATCCCTTCAATTTTCAGAATGGGACCTTGATTGGTGGTGGAAATCTGGACCCAAATATTCCTGTAAGCTTTTACAGAGAACAAATTAATTAGTCTCTTCTTTCTGAGTGCTTATATCTTCTTTGTATCCTCCTCATGGAAAATACTTATATTCTTGAATATGTGCCTACTTTTTTTTCTTTTTTTTTTTTGTATTGACATACTCATAATGTACTCGCACCCACATTCGTACCCGCACCCATGCTTCCTAGGATTTTGTTGTTGGGTCTATAAGGAATGACGAATTCTATCATGATGGTATTTCTATCCCATGTATTTGAAGTGCTTATGTTCTTGAGGGTAAGTGGCGTACAAGAATAAAATAGATATTTTGGAAAAAATATTTTTTTTCAAATTAACAATTTTCGTTGGACAACAAACAGTTGACTGACAGATGGATGAAATTGATACTCTAAAATCAAAAGTAAGGGAGGGCAGTGATATTTCAAGAATAAAGAGGTTGTTAGTGTGATTTTAGAAGAATAAATCAGTGTCAATGTAATTTACCCAAGAAATAATGACATAGTTTAGTAATATCAATACATAACTAAGCAAAAGGTCTCCCTTAAGCCCAGATTCATCCCTACTTTGCAACCCACCCCTACCTAAATTAAAACCTGCCCCAATCGTCCTAATAAGACAAATTGCAAATATTTGCACATATGTAATGACCCAAGTCCAACTATATATTTAATTCATTCTTGTGTATCTTACATTCCATATAATTGATTGTGTAGCACATTTTGCTTGTGATACATTAGGGATTTCTAACAAATGCATGACTAATTGGCTAATGTGATTTTACCTAATTTTGGTTTTGCTTAATTAGGGTGCTTAACTTACATGAGTTAATGTCGTATATCAAAAAAGTAAATCAAGATTAATTGTGGTCAAGTGTGATTAATTACGATAATCTTGATTAATTAAGGTTACGCATGAATAATTAGGGCTATATTCTTTTTCGCCATTCCATTCCACTCTGCCAAGGGCTATATACTCAACTAAATCAAATAAATTCACATCCGTTTTACTATCACATCCCATGTCAATTTCGGTCTTAAAGGTGATTTTGACAATGAACTAGGCACCTCAATGTTTGACAAAACTAAAAAAACAAGAACATTTCACACATCCCAAGTTTTCCATAACCTAGCAGGCCAGTTCAAAGACTCATTAATTCCACTAGCCCAAGAAAACAACATTTAAACTCAATACAAATATGATCAAATTATGTTTGTTTAACATAATGTGACGCGCTAATGCATCACAAATGATGTAATCAAGTGAAAGTGATCAAATAAACTAAGCAACAAAATCGCACAAGCAATTACAAAGAAAGCTCAGTTTTTTTCTACCACTCAATAACTTCAATTGATTTCAAAAACATATAAGACATCAATACAAGCTAAAAAGAAATCCATACAACCTAGAAAGCTCAATTCCATATTTATTTCCCAAACCCAAGTCCTTTATTACTCAAACCCATCATGCTTTCTGAGGTCCTGATTTGAAAACAAACTTCAGCCGCATTTTGAAAACATGACTTAGTGCATGAACCCACAAAACAACATGAATTTCAAAATCACATGTGTTTGGTTTAAAAAAAAAGCTCCTCAATCCCAACAGTTAAATAGTATTAAACAATAACAGTAACCCTAATATGTAATCTAAACATGAGTACCGGATTTTTCTGAAGTTGGGTTTCAAATCCAGAAAGCTCTCTTCTGCCATTTCTTCTGTTACTCTCTTTCTCTACTTTCTCCCTCTACAATGACAACACAGTTGCATTGATTTGGTGTTTTGGAATCATCCACCATGTCATTTCAGTCCTATTTGCATGCCTATATGTTTACCTTGGATGCATCTTTAATGCCTCATAAGCTTGTGTAGCAATGCTCCTTGTTTTGGCACTTGTGCATGCCTTTGTTTTTGAGTCATTTGGATGCCATCTAAGTGATCCTTAGGCCTTGTATTAATGTCCTAAAACTCTGTTTTTGGTCAATAAGTTCATGCCATGTTTGGTCTTGCTAAGTGTAGTTCAAAACTCCATTGGTTTGCTTTGAGCACTTAGGCCATTAGTTGCATGTTTGGCTTGATTTATTGCTTGGTTTGGCATTATGTTTTAACATGATTTTAATGCTCATGCTGCATGCTATATGTCCATGATTACCTTCTTTCAAATGTGTTTGAGAGTTGCCCCATTTGTGCCTAAGTGTTGGGCCTTATCATATGTATGTGTGCATGTGTTTTGGTCCTCTGTTTTGGTCATTTTGGCTACTGTTTTAGGCCTATTTAGAGTTTCCTAAATCATGTATAAGTCCATCTTTGTATCCATTTGCATGGCCCCATGTTTGCTTGTATGCTTGCATAAGCTTGTTGCCATGTCATGTTGCATCCTTAGCTTGCATGCTTAGGCTGCATTGTATCTTGCATGCATGCTTTGTTCCTTGACTTGATGATAGGAATTGGGCCTTAGTTTGTTTGATTGATTTGCATTTCATTTGACATGAAAGTTGCATACTTGATTCCTTGAGCCATCATGCATGGAAATGCGTGATTGGTGGTCCAAGAATTGAGGCACATGCCCCTTTGAGTCATTATCATGATAAGGGACATAGTTGGTGCATATATGCCTTGAATTGTGCTGCCATGCTTTGTCTTGCCCTCTGTTGCTGTGAGTTGCAGGTTCTGCAGACTTTCTTTGCCGACCGGCAGTATATGTTGCCGACCGGCATTAAATCACCAGCCGATAGCTTTGTTTTGTGCCGGTGACAATACCACACTGCCGGTGGCAATTCCATTCAGCCGGTGGTGATCTCCATTTCCCAAGGAAGCAGTCCTGAGGTTTTGGCAACCTCCAGAGGAGTGAAGGAAGGAAAACAGAGGCAGCTCACGCATGGCGGCGCATTTCCGAGCGGGACCGGGCATGCATTGCATTGAGCCCTCCCCCCGAGGCGGTTTACTGCTTTTCTTAGCCTATTTAATTTGCTTAGTTAATTAGGCAATTTGTAATATTAATTAGCTTGCGTAGTTAATTAAATTTGTATTATTTATTCGGTCCCTCCGAGTGAGGGCAAATCTGTAATAAGTGTGTGTGGGTGGTGTGTATGTCTTCCAATCCCCACTTCTTTCTACCCTTTTATTTACCGGCTTATGACAGTAGATTAGGGCATCTTTAAAATTAGCATACCTTATGCTATGCATGCGTGCATCCATACATTTGTATTACATACATTAGGCTCGGTACATCACGCTAACTGCATCTGTACTTCAATTCACAAATTGAATATGTGGTAATTGATCGCATTTCATATGCCATGTTTAGGGTTAGCCGAGCCTGCCTAGATTGCATTTTTGCATGTGATGCATTAGCCATTTTTAACATGAACTAGGACATGCATGTTTGCTAACTAGTTTACTGTTTTGGCGCGGAGTACGATGTAAGTATTTATGCTTTAGCATCCCGCATGCGTGTGAGTGTTGCCATGACAGTGTGCCTGCCATGCGGCTAAGTGCTTATGTGTTAAATTGTTTGAATGCCTGTGGGTGAAGGTTAGATTGTTTGAGTTGGAAAGACTCGTTGAAATCCGCATTTTAGCCTACTTGCGAGTAGCAAATCCAAAACATTTTCCAAAACAAACGGATATGCAATGCTCATTTCCAAGTTAGGCAATCTAGTCTATACTTGTTTGCTGCGCGCATAACGTAGTAATTCTAGGCTAATAAATGGAATAAGAACACGTAATGTTTTCAAAATCGGATATCATGGTTAGTAGAGGCCAGTCTTCGGATCGGACGAAAGGGGGTGCTCATAGCTGACCTTCCCCAATCGTACCCAAGCTCCCGAGCCGAGACAACTCCGGTGATGACGGACATGTGGCCTTCGGCACCGAGTCAAGGTTTCCTAAATTTCCCCCATTAAAAAACATTTAGGTGGCGACTCTGTATCTGGCAAAGCAGTCCATGTTTGGCACTACTTTTTCAAAAATCTGTTTCTCAAAATGATTTGCCAGATTTGGACTCTTTGGTTCAGATTAAGAACTGCGACAACAAAATCGCGAGTCCGAACTGTAGTAGCATAAGGCCCCCCTCCGCGGGCGCGTCTACACTAATTAATTTGTTCTCTGTAAAAGCTTACAGGAATATTTGGGTCCAGATTTCCACCACCAATCAAGGTCCCATTCTGAAAATTGAAGGGATAAACTTGCTTCCCAAATTTGTGATATCGGTCACTCTTCCAGGCAATGTTCTTCCTGTTGACCTTCAACTCCTCTGTCCCACGAGAAAAGCTATACGTATCATTGAACAAACTCCATGCAATTAAACCACAAGGAACAATTGGGAGACAGTGACTAACATGATAACATTTTACCATTGAACAAAGCTTGGGTTTCTACATAAACCAAGAAGGAACCAAAAAGGAAATGTGATAAGACAGTGACTAACATGATAACATTTTACCATTGATTATTGCAACAAATAGATACCATGACAGTTACCAGAAATGAATGCAAAGAAGCACCAATTATCATCAAGAGCATTAACTATAGAAGGATGCCAATAATACTAGATAAATGGAAGGAAAGATAATGGACACATATATATAATATAATCATACCAAAAAAAATATATATATAGAAATACATTTGATGAAAGAAGCAAGGTAATTTAAGTAAATGAATGAACTTGTCACTACATTAGGTAAGAGAAGAAATACTCTCACCATCGGTGGTTCTGGTAGTAGTTATCGAGCTGGTAGTAGATGTAAATTGGGGCCTTCATGTATTTGGGAACCTGAAAATCAAGTTGTAAATGTCAATACACAAATCTAAAGAACAAATTCAATGTCAGAATACCAGTTTAGAACAAATTCAACTTATATATATATAAAACAAAAAAAAAATCAACGATCGGTGAGGATGAAGGCCTGCAGAGTTTAGAATAAATCCATGCATTGCCAAGAGGATGAAGGCCTACAGAGTTTTGGATACATAAACAAAAACATAAGACCAAAGCAAAAACGTATACTGCGACAACAAAAAGAGGTCAATGAATCGATTGTGGAAATCTACAGTTATTTGGAAAATTATAGAATGCTCATGTTCATTTCCTGCCTCAATTTATTTGTTATTGGTTGATCAATTTTACAGAAATACTATCCTCCACTCAGATTCTATAATCAATTTTACAGACAGACTATAATAATGAACATGAAGCACAGCACAAGCACTCAGATGTTGAGCCAGATAACTAGCAAACTATAATAATCAACAACATTTGCCCTTGTAATAATGGAAGAGAAATAATCTAAGGACAGGCGTAGCACTGATCTAATTTGTATAATTAACATTGAAGCACAGCACAACACATTTGATTTACTTTTAAGTAAAATGAAAAAACATCATAAAATTCCATAGAAGTTAAAAAATCAGACAGATTCAAACAAACACATTCAAATAGACAGATTCAAAAAATCAGATCCCATCAGATCTGTTTTGGTCCACAAAAAATCAGATCCCACAACAAAAATCAAATCTGTTTTGGTCCACAAAAAATAAGATCTGTGAAGTAGATCGGCTGTGCGATGATGAAAAAAATCAAAGATCACCTACGAAGTAGATCGGCTGTGCGATGAAAAAAATCAGAGATGAAAAAAATCAAATCTGTTGTTCATCCACAAAAAATCAACGATCGGGAGAGAGAGAGACAGAGATTGAGAGAGCGAGTTCACCTGTCAAACAAACTGGGCCTACGTATATAAAGAAAATGGATTTACATATGCAAAACACAGATCTAACATCTGGAGCATATATATATATATAAAGAGAGAGAGAGAACATATGTATAGAAAGGAAAGATCTAACCCATGGAGAGAGAATGTGTACTCTAGAGAGAGAGTGAGTCACTAGGAGATAATCCATATTTGAATCTTTTTGGTCTCCGGTGTTAGAAAAGATTGGCAAAGGATTAGAGGGGTGGAAGAAATATTTGTTGTCTAGGGGGGTAGGTACACTCTCATGCAGTCTGTGTTAAGTAGTATTTTCAAGATCCCGATTAGGATTGCAAAGAAGATTGAAAATTCAATGAGGGATTTTCTTTGGGAAGAAAAAAAAAGATCATTTAGTGAATATAAAACAGCAGGATATGACATCTTTGAGATTTGGAAGGGTATATACAATGAAGAGGATTTGAGCATTGGATAACATATCCCAGGGCCCTGTTTGTTGTGTACAGGATTTAAGCATTGGATATAAATTATCCACGTTTGTTTACAAAAGGGATGGGGCATATGAGCAAGCAATTTCCAATTTTTCCCTCATACCATACATAATACTGCCCATCTGGGCCACCAACGCCCAACATTTTGGAATCAATAATCAAAATTTCAAGATTTGCCAAAATAAAAAAAAATTGTTATAATTAAAATTAATAACCAAAAAATTGTTATAATTAAAATTTTTATTCTTAAACATAACCATCATTCTTTTTCTTAAATTTTCAAGAGGTTAATTTTTATCAAAGCAATTATCCAATAATACACTAATAATTCCATTGGCCTAAAAAGTTAGCTTAAATTTTTTTTTTCTTTTGCTTATTTTCTTCTTTATAAATTGACTCAAAATTTACAACTCAATTCATAAACACAAAAATAAACAAAAAAATAAGCTAACTTAAGCCACATCAAAGAAAATCTTGATTGTTTTCTTGTCATTCCTAAGGCAATAGGCAACAATAAACAAGTCAATATACAACTGGGTAGAATCAAATTCTATATCTTACAATAAACAAGGTAATATACAACCTGGGCATAATCAAATTCTAACATATCTTACAACATGGACAGAATCAAATTCATCCAGTAATCAAATTCTAATATATCTTACAACAAACAAGGCAATATGTTAAGCATAATACTAATTGTCATCATCCATCATATACCATACATATGTCCATAACATAGAATACTTACACAACCCCAACAATTACAACAAAATTAGGCACATTAAAAACAGAGAATTTGATAAATAATACTGGGAATGTCAATAAATAAAAGAACTATTTGTTGACCCAAAAATAAAAATAACATTAAAAAAAAGAGAAAAAAATTACCCACCCAGATAAAAACTAATTACAAAGATAGGAACAAAATTTGGGTTTAATAATAATTAAATAAAAAAACTTACATGTGAGAGATTTGGCATTACAACTTCGTTATTGTATCTCTAAACTTGTCAAATTTTGAATCCCAATGTTTATTGGATACAGGTATAGTGCACTGCTCAATGGGTACAGGAGGGCCATACATATGTATATGTGTGTATATATATATGTATATATATGTGTATGCATAATGAAGGTTTGGCCAAGGCTGAGCCCCATTGGCTTAAAGCCATGGAAACCCATCACACATCCAAGAGAAAAGACACAGATTTTGCATATATACACAAATCAACAATGGGGAATAAAGATTGATGCCGACGATTTTTGAGGAATAAAGAAAATAGAAAATCTGTGTGTTTAGGTAAAGTAAATGACAGAGGAGAACCTTATGTTTGATGCCGGCAACAGAAATCGGCAATCGGGGGTAGATCGGCAACTAGTCAGCACCGTTTCTCCATCGCTTCTTCTTGCAACGGCAGATGGTGAGAATGATGTAGGGTTTCCTGTGTGGGTTATTATATATAGCAAGGGGTAAAAGAGTAAAATATTTCCTTATCCCCTCCCCCCTGATATACAATAACGGGGGGGTAGTGTTATTGTATATCCAGTCAAAATAGGGGATATACAATAAAGAGGTATATTATCTCCTCCTCCAAAAAAATTTCCAAACAATAGATATATTGGGCCCACAGTATATTATATACTATCCCACCCTCCATCTCCAACAAACAAACTGGGCCATGTACTTCATATATGTTCTTTAAAATGTGACATTTGACAAAAGAGAAGGTCGAGTGCAAATACTGGACGGAACACCGGTATGCTCAAAACCCAACCAAATTTCATGAAACAGCCGAAATGGACTGGATCAGAGAAAAAACAAAGACAAAATGGTATTGGCCCTATTTAGTTCTGTTTTGGTTATCTTAAGACAACAAATCCATGTTGATTTCTAACAAGTCAAACCAATCCAGCAGAGTAACAAATGAATCATGTAGGATGAGTGCAAGAGACACGGTCCTACTAGTAGTGTGCCCAAATCTAATAAACAGCAGTAGTGAAAGCAGGTTTAAAGCCTCATTTTAGTTGGTTTTAGCAGCCAAAAGATTGAAAAATCGGAGGACACTTGTGCAGCACATTTTTCCTTTAATATGTCATTTCCACATCTTTATATGGTTGATCGGTTACATTTTGTGTCCGTTGCTTCTTCGGTTTCTTCTAGTGTTGCTCGGATTTCTTGAAATCTAGAATTTTCTAGGAGTCTTAATGATCGGGAAAATTTGGAATGGGTATCTTTGTTATCTTTGCTTGATGGAATTTCCCCATCTCCGAATTCATGTGATAAGCAAGTTTGGCAGGGTCATGCCATAAGCAATTTTTCAAGTAAATCATTCTGTGAATTCTCTGCATCACCCACTTTCAAAGAAAAAAAATCTGGATATTTGTAGGAGGATCTTAGAAATGGATTTCCATGGAGCACAATTGGTACCCCTGCTAACCACATGTGAGTCTCTCCCATTAGATTGAAGCCCATACTTACTTTTAATGATGGCAAACCATATTTATAACGACTTACCAAGTAGGTTGTGTTCCTAGCCACAACATTTCCTATATAGCTAGTCCTGCTTTCTCCTTAGGAAGAGAAATAATGCTCCAATTCACTAAATGATCTTTTTTTTTCTTCCCAAAGAAAATCCCTCATTGAATTTTCAATCTTCCTTGCAATCCTAATCAGGATCTTGAAAATACTACTTAACGCAGACTGCATGAGTGTACCTACCCCCCTAGACAACAAATATTTCTTCCACCCCTCTAATCTTTTGCCAATCTTTTCTAACACCGGAGACCAAAAAGATTCAAATATGGATTATCTCCTAGTGACTCACTCTCTCTCTAGAGTACACATTCTCTCTCCATGGGTTAGATCTTTCCTTTCTATACATATGTTCTCTCTCTCTCTCTCTCTCTATATATATATATATGTATATATGCTCCAGATGTTAGATCTGTGTTTTGCATATGTAAATCCATTTTCTTTATATACATAGGCCCAGTTTGTTTGCTTGGATATAAACAGCAGGATATGATATCTTTGAGATTTGGAAGGGTATATACAATGAAGAGGATTTGAGCATTGCATAACATATCCCAGGGCCCTGTTTGTTTTGTATAGGATTTAAGCATTGGATATAAATTATCCATGTTTGTTTACAAAAGGGATGGGGTATATGAGCAAGCAATTTCCAATTTTGCCCTCATACCATACATAATACTGCCCATCTGGGCCACCAATGCCCAACATTTTGGAATTAATAACCAAAATTTCAAGATTTGCCAAAGTAAAAAATTGTTATAATTAAAATTAATAACCAAGAAATTGTTATAATTAAAATTTTTATTCTTAAACATAACCATCATTCTTTTTCTTAAATTTTCAAGAGGTTAATTTTTATCAAAGCAATTACTCAATAATACACTAATAATTCCATTGGCCTAAAAAGTTAGCTTAAATTTTTTTTTTCTTTTGCTTATTTTCTTCTTTATAAATTGACTCAAAATTTACAACTCAACTCATAAACACAAAAATAAGCAAAAAAAATAAGCTAACTTAAGCCACATCAAAGAAAATCTTGATTGTTTTCTTGTCATTCCTAAGGCAATAGGCAACAATAAACAAGGCAATATACAACTGGGTAGAATCAAATTCTATATCTTACAATAAACAAGGTAATATACAACCTGGGTAGAATCAAATTCTAACATATCTTACAACATGGGCAGAATCAAATTCATCCAGTAATCAAATTCTAATATATCTTACAACAAACAAGGCAATATGTTAAGCATAATACTAATTGTCATCATCCATCATATACCATACATATGTCCATAACATAGAATACTTATACAACCCCAACAATTACAACAAAATTAGGCACATTAAAAACAGAGAATTTGATAAATAATACTGGGAATGTCAATAAATAAAAGAACTATTTGTTGACCCAAAAATAAAAATAACATTAAAAAAAAAGAAAAAAATTACCCACCCAGATAAAAACTAATTACAAAGATAGGAACAAAATTTGGGTTTAATAATAATTAAATAAAAAACTTACATGTGAGAGATTTGGCATTACAGCTTCGTTATTGTATCTCTAAACTTATCAAATTTTGAATCCCAATGTTTATTGGATATAGGTATAGGGCACTGCTCAATGGATACAGGAGGGCTATACATATGTATATATGTGTGTATATATATATATGTATATATATGTGTATGTATGATGAAGGTTTGGCCAAGGCTGAGCCCCAATGGCTCAAAGCTATGGAAACCCATCACACATACAAGAGAGAAGACACAGATTTGGCATATATACACAAATCAACAATGGGGAATAAAGATTGATGCCGGCGATTTTTGAGGAATAAACAAAATAGAAAATCTGTGTGTTTAGGTAAAGTAAATGACAGAGGAGAACCTTATGTTTGATGCCAGCAACAGAAATCGGCAATCGGGGGTAGATCGGCAACTGGTCAGCACCGTTTCTCCATCGCTTCTTCTTGCAACGGCAGATGGTGAGAATGATGTAGGGTTTCCTATGTGGGTTATTATATATAGCAAGGAGTAAAAGAGTAAAATATTTCCTTATCCCCTCCCCCCTGATATACAATAACGGAGGGGTAGTGTTATTGTATATCCAGTCAAAATAGGGGATATACAATGAAGAGGTATATTATCTCCTCCTCCAAAAAAATTTCCAAACAATAGATATATTGGGCCCACAGTATATTATATACTATCCCACCCTCCATCTCCAACAAACAAACTAGGCCATATACTCCATATATGTTCTTTAAAATGTGACGTTTGACAAAAGAGAAGGCCGAGTGCAAATACTGGACGGAACACCGGTATGCTCAAAACCCAACCAAATTTCATGAAACAGCCGAAATGGACTAGATCAGAGAAAAAACAAAGACAAAACGGTATTGGCCCTCTTTAGTTCTGTTTTGGTTATCTTAAGACAACAAATCCATGTTGATTTCTAACAAGTCAAACCAATCCAGTAGAGTAACAAATGAATCATGTAGGATGAGTGCAAGAGACACGGTCCTACTAGTAGTGTGCCGAAATCTAATAAACAGCAGCAGTGAAAGCAGGTTTAAAGCCTCATTTTAGTTGGTTTTAGCAGGCAAAAGATTGAAAAAATCAGGTAGATTACCGGGATTTGTATGGGGCAATAAAAGAGTAGTGCTTTGGGCATGAGAAGACCTGATTTTGGAGGGTGTTCTTGGTGCTGTAACAGTTCCATGAACAGTAACTAAGGATAGCTTTAGGTTATTTTGCAAATTAGTGTTAAAATATGAAGGGATTATGGGTTAATGGCAGTGACAAAATAGATCTGGTTGTGGGAAAAGGCTACAAATGCCCCTCCCCAAAAAAAAAAAAGGAAGAAGAAGACGAGGATAAACTCTAGACATTGCACTGGGTTTAGAATTGCATCACACAACTATCCCAAAGAAAATTTAAAAACTCTCTAAAATCTCAATTCTATTAAATTCGAATCATTGCCATATGGAGGAAAGTAGCTCTGAGCATTAAATACACCTAATAAAAACTCAAAATTTCTCTTATAAAATTTAAGACGTATAAAGGGCATGAAAGAAAATTATTTGACCATGCACATGATCTAGTAAATGTCAAATGGAACGGACAAGGATATTAAATGGACTAACCATGAGAACAATAGCATATTCACAGCAGAGTGCTAAATGCCTAGAAAGAAACAAACTGAACCAAATAAATAAAGGGATTTGTTTCCATAATGCCTGAACCTGCATCATTTTGTCCCTTTAGGGCAAACTTATGTTTTTATCCTATAAAACTATCCTCACTAATAATCAATAATAATTTTGTACGACGTTTTGACTTTTCTCATTCATTCATATATTTATTTACCTATTTTTCCTTTTTTACCCCTCTTTATGAAACCACAACATAATTTCAACAATTTTCACATTTATTTATTTATTTATCTATTTTCCTTTTTCCATCTCATGACACCACAACATAATTTCAACAGTTTCAGCAATCTGTCAACAGAAAAAGCAGGGACAAAGAAAATGAACCATTTAGCTCATCTAACCTTGATGTTTGCACAGAAGTCCTCCATGGAATTGTCCAAACTCTATATAAAGGATAAAGATTAGAAAGCAATCCATTTCCACACAAAGATAAGCACCACTCAAATATAGACAGATAATTAATGGATCAAAATATCAAGAAGGCTATGACAGAAGAAATAAACAAAACACACACACACACACACACGAGTGGGAATCACAAAGATGAGTAGACCAAAACAAAACACCAGTTTGTTAAGGTGAGCAAGGGAGTTTGGGAAAAAAATAAAATACACCAGACAATGGTAACAAGGAAAATCTGAATGTCACAAATCATCTTGAGACGTGTTAAACTGCTAATATAACAACAGAAGCTTACTTTGGTCTCATGAGCAAAAGGATTTTGATGGGCGTAATTTTCCTTGAATTTTCTAAAAGTGCCTGAAAAACAACGTTTTTAATGAATTTCCTCTGCTAGTCCAACAGCTAAGAACAATATTGTAACCAAAAATAAAATCCTGCCGTTACTTACTGTGAGAGAGAGAGAGAATATAATCCTGCTGCATTAACCTTAATCCAGTGTTCGGAATGGAAAGAGGCTAGAATGGAATGGTCACTCCATTGCAATACATGTTCTCATGTTTGTTTGGTAAAAGGGAAAGAAATTTACATTGGAAGTGGAATCATCATTCACCAATTTAGGAGAATGGCCATTCCATTGGGAGGCCAAGGAATAGCCATTCCATTTTGGCCTAAAATCATTCCAACGAACCAAACACTACCTAAATGTGTTCATGGAAACTGAAAAATTCTCAAAGCAATATTGTGACATAAGAAGTTAAAACATACAAGATGTACATAACAATTAGAAAGAGCTAGTAGGGATTTTCCCAACTTATCAAAATTTAGACAATGTGATCATCCCCAAAATCAATACTTAAAAACAAAAGACAATGGCTTGCCTTCAAAGAGAAATTTAGGGTTTGAGGTCTGATGATCATCCACTGAGACTTCCGCAGTAACAGGCGTTGACCAGTCAGCGAAAGCCAGAAATGACTTCTCTGAAGAAGACAAGTAACCGACCAACCCAACGCTCAAACCCAGAACAATTCCCGAAACCCATCTGAGGAAAGATCTGAAAGTGCTTGGGTTTTCATGAGAATTGGTCTCCGACCTTGAGACAATGAAAGAAGGCGGTGGTGGTGGTGGTGAGGTAGAAAAGGGGTGGAACTGGAGAAGATGGATAAGTTGCAGATGATTGATCGACGAAGGGGATCGTTTCACGCACAGAGACATGGTGTGGATATAGAGAGTGTAGAGGGCATGAAAGATTTGGGTGTAACCGACTTGAGCGACAGAGAGAGAGGAGGAAGTTTTGAGTAGTAAGACTTTAGTAACAGTTTGATATAGGAATTACAACAACGCTCGAACCCAGAGCAATTCCCGAAACCCATCTGAGGAAAGATCTGAAAGTGCTTGGGTTTTCATGAGAATTGGTCTCCGACCTTGAGACAATGAAAGAAGGCGGTGGTGGTGGTGGTGAGGTAGAAAAGGGGCGGAACTGGAGAAGATGGATCAGTTGCAGACGATTGATCGACAGAGGGGATCGTTTCACGCACAGAGACATGGTGTGGATATAGAGAGTGTAGAGGGCATGAAAGATTTGGATGTAACCGACTTGAGCGACAGAGAGAGAGGAGGAAGTTTTGAGTAGTAAGACTTTAGTAACAGTTTGATATAGGAATTACAATTAAGACAGTTACTTTGATATATTGAGTTGAAGAAGATTTTTATACAAATAACTACAAATTTTGTATCTATTAGGATTAATGTGAATCTTATTTCAGTTTCTAAATTTTTATTATTAATTTGTTAATATGTATAACATTATTTTAAGTGAAAACTAGTAAAAATAAGGGGTCTTTTTTTTAAGGTCTCTGGTATTAAGATTTTATAGCATAAATGATATCTAATATTTTCATGATGTCTATAGTCCCTCAATCTGATATAGAGAAATTTCATCCTGAGAATTTCTCCGAACTTGCTAGAGAAATTCTATCCAAAGAAATTGTGGACCAAAGAAATTTGATCCAACCCAGATAAATTTCTCTGACCTTCCCTTCTTTCCAGAGAAATTTTCCTTCTCTGGCCTTAAGAGAAATTTCACACTCTAGAGAAAATTTCTCTGGCCTTCCCTTCTCTCCAGAGAAATTTCCCTTCTCCAAACCTAGAGAAATTTTCCCAAACCAGAGAAATTCCCCCTCTCCAAACCCAGAGAAATTTCCCCTTACAATCTTTTATGGTTGAACAATCAATAGCGATCTAACAAATAAGGAAAAGATTACGAAACCTATACCTTGGCCAAGAGTGAACTTAAACGGTGTTCCCCTATCACGACTTGAATCGAACTGAGTACTATCAAGTAAAGTCCCAGTGTAATTTTCTCTAGTATGTTTAATTTTATTTGTCATGTGTAATTTTCTCCGGTATGTATAATTTTCTCTGGTATGTTACTTCTTTGTTTTCTCTGGCTAGTTGTGTGATTTTCTCTGCCATGTGTAATTTTCTCTGCCAGGTTGCTTCTTTGATTTTCTCTGTCATGTTGCTTCTTTAATTTTCTCTGCCATGCTACTTCTCTGATTTTCTCTGTCATGTTGCTTCTTTAATTTCTCTACTAGGTTGCTTCCTTGATTTTTTCTGCCAGGTTGCTTCTCTGATATTTTCTGCCATGTTACTTCTTTAAATTTCTTTGCCATGTTACTTCTTTAATTTTCTCTACCAGGTTACTTCTCTGATTTTCTCCGCCATGTTGCTTCTTTAATTTTCTCTGCCAAGTTGCTTATTTAATTTTCTCTACCGTGTTGCTTCTTTGATTTTCTCTGCCATGTTGCTTCTTTGATTTTCTCTACCATGTTGCTTTTTTAATTTTCTCTGCCAAGTTGCTTCTTTGATTTTCTCTACCATGCTGGTTCTTTAATTTTCTCTACCAAGTTGTTGGGAGGGAGAGGGATTATACATTTCGGGGTTTATTTTGTTTTTTTATTTTTATTTTGTGTATTTACTTCATAATTTTTATTTTTATTTTTTTTTACTTTTAGATCATATCTTAACAGTGAATTAAAAATTTTATCAAATTTAAATAAAAATTTGATTTGATATCTTTCATTTCAATATTAAAATTAAAATTTTTATCAATGTTTTTCTGGTTATCTAAAAGGGCGTCCAAGTGGATGTTCTGAAGATCGTTCGAACATGAATAAAAAAAATTATTAAAGTTGCTTTTGAGGTGGACATCCAAGAGGATGTTCAGCCTAACGATAACAATTTAAATTTAATAAAAGATGAAAAACTCCATTTATTTGATGAAAGTTTTAGGCTTCGTTTGGTGAAACTTTTGAAATATAATTTCGCACTCACTTTTGAGTGTGGTGTTTGTTTAGCGTTTTTAAAAATTAATTTCATACTCACTTTTGAAAACTCTTTCAAAGGCGGAAAAATTTGGACTAACTAGTCATCCGGCCGGTTGACCGAAACAATGTTCGGTTTTTTTTTCCTTTTTCCTTTTGCACCTGTTATTTTTATATTACAAAAAAAATATTTGTGATTTTTTTAAAAAAAATTTATGAGTTTTGAATAGAATTTTGGATTGTGTGTTTGGTTATGAATTGTAAATTTTTGTATCAAATATGATATGTCACATTACTCAATTTAAACTCAATTTAAAACTCTTTCAAAACTCATAATCAAACAAATTTTCCACACTCAAATTATAATTTCAAAACTCACAAACACAAAATACAATTCTACTCTTAAATCATAATTCTAAAACTCTACCAAACACTTCCTTAGTTTTCCTTATATTTGATATGAATCTGGTGAAAAAGTTGAAGTACCAAAATGAGACGTTTTTCATCAAATTCAAATTTAATAAAACATTGATATGATACTCTTAGAGCATCTCCAATGGTTCATCAGATTTTTCATCAAATCTGAGTATAAAAAAAAGACAATTTATTCTATTTGATATCGCCTGCCCTAACGGAGAAATTTGGCTTTTCATCAAACTGGCCGGTCGACCAGTCAATGAAAAACCTGGTTCTGATCTTTCTTTCTTTCCCTTTTTTTTTTTTACTGAGAAAACAAAGAGGTGGTTGATCGGGGGGTCAACCTTCTAGTGTAAAATTTTCACAAAATTTTGCTTGAGCTGGTCATTCGGGTGGACGTTCGGCCGGACGTCCGGTGGGTCCACACTCAACGGCTACGCACAGTAATTTGGTGAAAGGTGCAACACATCTTCAATTTGGTGAAACTTTTGCTCTGTTTTCAATTTGATATCAATTTGGTGAAACTATTGGAGAGAGAAAAAATGGCTTTTTTCATTAAATTCAAATCTGATCCTCAATATGATGTAACGTTGGAGATGGTCTTAAAGCATCAATAGCAACCTCTTCAAAATTTCAGTCAAATTATAACTCAAAAAGCTATTTTTCTATTTTAGCTAGTCACCCACTGCATCAAACTCTCTATTTTAACTTAATCCTATTAAAATATTTGTTATTCTTTTTTTTTATAAAAAAATTGATAAGCTATCAACCAAACAATTCTTATGTTTTACAAAAGGTAAAACTGGAGGAAATGTAAAAAAAAATAAAAAAAATTGTTGTTGACCGGTTGTCTGGCCGATCTTCCAGGCGGATGTTCGGTTACACCCAAATCGCGTGTGTTTAGCGATGAACAGTTGCTCGCCTCATCGGACGAGTTACTGTAGCAAATTTAACAAAACGTTAATTTACAAAAAAATTATTGAGGCTGATAGATGAAGGATTTGATGCTGATGCTCTCTATAATAGATTCAAAGCTATTGTAAAGAGACTGATGCGAATGCTCTTAGTGGGTATATAGTAAGTAGAAAAATTAATTAAAATAGTAGTATAAAAAAAATATTTGGTACAAATAAAATAATAAAAAAAAAAGAAAAAATTTTGATTTTTTCCTTAAGACCTTTTGTTATTTACATTTTTTTTTCCTATTAAAATAGTCAACGATATTTGAAAAAATTATAGTCATACTTAAAAGTCAGTCCATTTTAAATAAATAAATTATACTAGTAAGGGCATCTCTAACAATTCACCAAATATTTCATTAAATCTAAGTAAAAAATATTAATTCTTCTATCTGATATCAGTCACTCCGACGGTGATGTCATCAAAACACAGGTTGACTAGGGAGATGACCGACCGCACATCTGGCTGGTCGACCGGCAACTGTAAACGCTTTATAAGATGACCATAGGCAATGTGATCCAAGACAAAGCCCTGCTTTTGAAGCTTCTCTACCAAAGCATGTGCAGTGCTTGTAAAACCCTGTGCTGCATAACTTTTTGAGGACATCATGACAAGTATGCAATTTTGTGTGAGGATGTGCCACCAGCATGCTTTCTGTCACGCCCCACTTTTTATTACTCGAAGTCATTACCAAATTCTTTAACTTAATTCAATTTCAGAGATAACATGCGGAAATCTAGAAGTGCAACTTCCCAACAATTGAGGAGCCTCATCAAGTTTCTTTTCCTGAGTAAACCAGTTATTAAAGCAGTATGTGTCTCCATCTTGATTTTTGTGTGTGAATCCCTTTTCACTGAGTGCTTGGACAAACAAATTGAGAGTTTCTTGATCAAGCTGATTAGTCAACTTTGGTGGTCATCCGAGGGTCGACTGGGAGGTCGACCGGTCAATGTAATTTTTTTACAAATTTTTGCCTTGAGGTGGTCATTCGAGGGGAGATCCGGCTGGTCGTCCGGTAGGTCACCACTCAACGGCTATGCATAGTAAATTGCTGAAAGGTGCAAGACATCCTCAGCAAGTAATCTTTCTGCATAAATTGCTCCGGTAGGTCGTCCGATTGTTACTCTGTTCGACCACTTTCCTACAAAATTTGTGGAAAAATTACACTAGTCGGTCGATCGGCCGAACATCCCCTGGTCGTCCTTCCGGTCGATCGGTGGTTTTATAAAATTTCAGATTGCTCTGTTGGAACACGTGATATCAAATGAAGATTTTACTCAAATTTGATGGAAAAAAAGGTTAAACATTAGAGATGCTCTTGCACATCATTAGATCTTCTAAATGGGTCTAAAGTGGACTTGTATATTATTTTCCTTATTAAAAAGGAGAAGGAATCAATTTTTTTGGGTAAATTACACTCACCTCCCATGAAGTTTCTGACAATTACAAGGACCTCCCATATAGTGTCAATAATTACAGAAATCACCCTTTTTTTTGAAACTATTATTAAGA